CTCTCTCTCTCTCTCTCTCTCTCTCTCTCTCTCTCTCTCTCTCTCTCTCTGATAGTTTTCAATCTATCTCTTACTCTTTGAGGCAGGGTTTCTCTAGCTTTGCAGCCTGACCTGGCACTCGCTCTGTAGACCAGGCTGGCCTCTAACTCACAGAGATCCTCCTGCCTCTGCCTCTCGAGTGCTGGGATTAAAGGTGTGTGCCACCACCGCTCAGCCTATATTGCCAATCTCTTAAAAATCACTGTAAACACCAGGTAGTGGTGGCACACACCTTTAATCCAGCACTCAGGAAGCAGAGGAAGACAGATTTTGAGATCTGAGAACATCCTGGTCTACAGAGCAAGTCCCAGGACAGCCAGGACTACACAGAGAACCTCTGTCTTGAAACACAAACAAACAAACAAATCACTGTAAACCAACTAAAAAGCATCAAAGAGATGGGTGCAAGAGACCAGTTGCACACAAAGCAAAGTGAGGCACAATAGGACTTTCTTTGTCTCCATACATTTCTTACATAGGACAGTCACCATCCTATTTTATATAGAAGAGAAAGCTGAGGTGTCAGAAGCTGCTCATTATCCAGTGGTAGAGCTATGAAAGCAGGATCTCATCTCAGCCCCCTCTCCCCTAGCTCAGGCTTCTTTCTGTAATGAACAAGGAGGAAAATTTTAGAGCTTCATTAAAATAAGATTTCTCACTGTATTGGCTGTTGAAACCCATCAGGATGAGGCTCAATCATAGAGTGCTTACCTGGCATCTGCCAGGTCCTGTGTTTAATTCCCGGTACAGTGGATATTCATGCCAGTGAATCATTCACCCCAGCACATTTTTATCAATTATAAAAACAGATGATTTTTCTTTGATTTTAGTCAGGGTATATTCTTTGTATGTAAATATTTCCTTCCTAGGAAGTGGTGCTCTCGGAACCTGTCAAAGCACAGAATTTATTGTGCCCTTTATATTTTTTAACAAAGTTGAAATGTTTCAGAGTTTTGGAATTGAGGTGTAATTTGATCTTACTTGAGGTTTTCCTGACTTGGGGTTTGGGTGTGGAATTTGATTTTGTTTTTCTTCTCTGAGATGCAATAGAATTCCCTTAAATGGGTAATAGTACTGAAATTCATTAATGTCAAGAGAGAAGTCCAAGTCAGACTCCTGAGTCAGTTATAGACCTTTCTCTAGCGTTCTTCAAGTCCAGTCTGTCTGTGTCTGAGAGAGGCTTCAAGATAGTTGAAAAGTCTCACTTATCCATGGAGACATGTAATCACCCCAATAACCAGAGAATGTTCTGGACTAGAGATGCATTAAGATGCCAGCGTCTGGAAACTTGGCCCATCCAGAATCATCTGTCCACCCTGTGTGAGTATAAGACTGTGAATCTGAATGCCTTGAGTTTCCTGGTAATTTGGGAGTGATTTCTGTTCTCTTGTTTATTTTTGGAGAATTCAAAGAGTATTTAGGTTTAGGGCTCTTTTTTGAACTTATTTATTTGAAATCCTTATTTTTAATGGCATGTGTATATTTTTGTGATGCTAAATGCAATCTCTACAAACTTTTTGTATATATGTGTATATATCTGTGAATATCTTGGTATGCAGTTATATACAGTGTGTGTATATTATATACCCATACCCATTGTGGGCTGAATTTATTTTAGTTCTGTGAGGACATCAGAGTGGCATTGTTCATGCTACTATAATTAGGTTGTGGCTGGATCTCATTCACAAGCCTCAATTTTAAGGGGCTTGTGTTGGGATAAGATGGGCTCCTTTGGAGCTGAAGTTAGGATATGAAGATGTTAAGAAAAGACTGCCTATTCTCAGCTTTAAATTCATTTGCCAACTTCAATTTAAATTGATAAATTTACTAGAAACCTGAAAACCTAAGTTTGTGAACTGAGACACCAGCGGGATCTTAATCTTTATTAGTCCTTTTTTTTTTTTTAGCCCATATTTAAGTGTTACTACTGAGTAGAAAATTGTTTATATTAGGACTTTAGGAGCTGTTAGAAGTAGGAAATGACTTTTAAGCCATTCAATATCTGATGCTAATTTTTAATTTTTGAATTTTTTTTTCCCATCAGTATGCTCATTCTATATGTGTCTCTGAGGCAGAAGAGGCATTCGCTAAATAAGGCCAAACTTTGGTGGGCTGGACAGAGGGGAGCTGGGTTGTTGGTGTGTGTGTGTCTGTAGCAGTGTCTGCTTAAGTAGGCTTCTTTTTTTTTTTTTTTTTTTTTTTTGTTGGTAAGATGAGTCTGTTCATCTGAAAAAAAATGCTTCCAGCAAATTCAGTGCCTCCACTTTCATCGCTGAGATCACTGGGAATACTTTTGCTTTACATTTTTACTTGGGTTTGGTTTGGTTTGGTTTGGTTTGGTTTGGTTTGGTGAGGCAGGGTTTCTCTCTGTAGCCCTGGCTGTCCAGAAACTCACTCTGTAGCCCAAGCTGCCTGCCTCTGCCCACCACCTTGCTTGCTCTACATTTTGACCATACTTTCACACTAGAAGTAGATTTCTTAATATGAAGTGCCTAGAGGCTCTCAATTAAGCATGGTGTGTGACAAAGGTACATCTGTAATACCAGTTCTTGGGAGAAGGAGATAAAATCAAGTTCAAGGCCAGCTTCTGCTGCATAGGAAGTTGAGGAGCAGCATGAGCTACAGGAGATCCTGTCTCAAAAATCCTAACAGAAAGACTTGGGATAATAGTGTTGAAGACAGTAAAATTATAGAAAATGTATACAGTGCCAGATTATGAGTGTTGGGGATCATGCAGAGTATCTTTTGTTCACACGTGTTTGCATGAATGAATATAAAGGATATTTAAACGCACTTCTATACATTCACTGAGAAGAGTAGAGTTATTTCTACATTGTAAACTGTAACTGCAAGACAGCTTTCTACTCCATTCTTCAAATAAACAAATCTCTATTATTATTATTATTATTATTACATTAAAAAATTAATTCAAGGGGGCTGGAGAGATGGCTCAGTGGTTAAAAGCATTGCCTGTTCTTCCAAAGATCCTGAGTTCAATTCCCAGCAACCACATGGTGGCTCACAACCATCTGTAATGAGGCCTGGTGCCCTCTTCTGGCCTGCAGACAGAATACTGTATACATAATAAACAAATAAATATTTTTTAAAAATTAATTCAGGTCAATTCTAAAGTAAAGCAGCTAGTTAGTCATAATACTTTTCAATTATACTCTTGGTTATCTTTTTCTTAAAATATATTAAGATGCATTGATGTGTTTCTGAGAAATCCTTAAAAAAAATGTTCACAGGCTCTCATGTTCATTAAGTGACCAAACCTTTAGCAGGTGGCAGATCATGTGTCATTTAAACTTTTTGAAACTAGGGGCTGGTGAGATGGCTCAGCAGTTAAGAGCACCTTTTTGTTTTTTGTTGTTTGATTTTGTTTTGCTTTTTTGAGGCAGACTCTCTATGTAGTACTGGCTGTCCTAGAGCTTACTATATAGACTAAACTGGCATTGAACTCACAGAGTTCCTCCTGCCTCTGCCTCCTGAGTGCTGAGATTAAAGTCATGTACCACACCGTGCCCAGCTAAGAGGCCTCTTACAGGACCTAAATTTCATTCTTAGTACCCACATGGCTGCTCACAATCTTTAGTTCTAGGGCATCTGACAGCCTCTTCTGGCCTCTGTGATGCATAGACATATATGCAGGCAAAACACTCATACACTTAAATATATATTTTTTTGTAAAGCATAGAAAGTAACGTTGATGTTGTGCTTGTTCTGTCCCAAACAGTTACAAAGCTGGTAATTTTGCAGTTGAATAAAATACAAATTGCTAAGAAAACCCACCCTTTTCCCCACATTCTCTTGAATGCTTGTGAGCTGATGTTGTCAACTCTGAGTCAACTCTGAGTCTTTCCTGAGTACTAGGACCACTTAATTTAATGAAAATAAAAAGATGATTTATCATCCTCAGACTAGGCATTTCAAACATAAATCTATAGTTAGTTCCATTTTCCCTGAGTTCTCTGAACACATAAGTTAATTTTCAACATGCTTTGTAGTTAATGGAGAATAATTTATCTGTGGATGGGATAAACGCCTGCCTACAGGAAAGTAGTAATATAAGAGAATATGTGATTAGGTAAGCATCAATGTATTTTTTTATTTATTTATTATGTATACAGTGTTCTACCTGCATGTGTGCCTGCAGGCCAGAAGAGGGCACCAGGCCTCATTACAGATGGTTGTGAGCCACCATATGGTTGCTGGGAATTGAACTCTGGACCTCTGGAAGAACAGCCAGTGTTCATAACCTCTGAGCCATCTCCCCAGCCAAAGCATAAATGTATTGAGTATAACTAATTTGATACTATAGAAGAAGTATTTTCTTTGGAATTCTGTAACTGTTTTCTTAGGTGAAAATTAGTATAGAATTCTTTTTTTTGTTGTTGTTATTTTTTTTGTTATTTGTTATTTTTTGAGACAGGGTTTCTCTGTGCGACAGTCCAGAACTCGCTTTGTAGACCAGGCTGGTCTCAAACTCAGAGATCCTCCTGCCTCTGCCTTCTCCCAAGTGCTGGGATTAAAGGCATGCGCCACCAGTGCCCAGCTATAGTTCCATTTTTATTAAGCACTGTTAATTATTCAACAATACCATTTCATAATTTTAAAATGTTCCTTTTTTGTTTGTTTTGGTTTTTCAAGACAGAGTTTCTCTGTAGCTTTTGGGGCCTAGTTCCAGGACAACCAGGGCTACACAGAGAAACCCTCTCAAAACTCCCTGCCCCCAAAAAATAATAAACATTATAAAATGTCAAATGCTGTTACTCCTTCCCCAGTAAACATTTCCAAACCACAAAGAAATGCCACTGTATGTTTTCAATATTTTAACTCCCATCCTCTTTTGCATACCATTCATTGATTTTTTTTCCTAAGTTAAAAGTATACAGTGGTATATTTAAAATCTTCAGAGAAAAAAAAATTAAAGTGTCATAGCATAATACGTTTTGTTACTATTTCCTGAAGAATTGTTTTTTTTTTAAATAATTCTCTATTCTCATTACAGTAATGGTTCAGTACAGTAATTCAGAACTTGATTTTTGTGGCTTTTTGTAGTTACATAGAAATGGTTTTTTATTTATTTTTTATTTTATTTTTTTAATTATATATATTTTTCATTTAAACTTCTTTTTTTTATTTTTTTTGGTCCAGCGTATTTGTCTAATAGAAACGTTTTTTTCACCACATAATCACTAGTTTTTCAGACTTTTCTTTTTCATTTTAATAAGCTTTATTTTTTTCAGCTGGAGTCCTGTATGTTATGGGATTCTTACAATAGAGGCAAAAAGGTCTTACATACTAAGAAATGCAGATAAGTTCCTAGCACGTTCTTAGTAGAGATGACAAGGGAAGGAATTTCCCCAGATAAGTTACCCTCTTTTTGTGGCACCAGTATAAGTAGTAGTTGCATTTGTCACTGAATCACATGAAGTACTTAGAAATTGCTTATTTTACTTTGCTGTGAAGATTAGTAAATGTCACAGAGCTTTGATATTTTCTGAGCAGTTTCCATTTAAGACTGAGTGTCAGTTAGCTTTATTCAAAGTTATCACTGAAGTTAATTTAATCAAGTAAGAATTTCTTTAAAGTTGTTTGATCTTCTTTACCCTAAAAATAATGGTGAATCTATTGTCTACATTATGTTAGTCAGAAATGCACTTGTTGAAATCATAGCAGAAACTATACTTGACTTTATAGTAATATGAAACACTTTATTTTAAAAATGTGCTTGTCTGTAACTGAAACGTTATAGAATTGTAACACTGTAGGGATTATAGAGTTCTATTTATTAGCTCTCAAGAGGTGAAGCACAACAATTTTCATGTAACAATCCTTATCCAAATGCTCTCCGTCATGCACATAACAAAGCTAACCGGTTGTCTGTCTAGTTGTTCACAGATCCCTACATCCTTGAGACAGTCTTGCTCATTTGTATTAAAATTGGGGTATTGTGACTTCATACTTTAGAATAGACCTATCAGTCAGCTAGCTCTGTTATACAGTAAATTGTTCGGATTCACAAAGGTTATGTGTTAATGGTAAATTTTGAAGACTATTACTATAATATTAAGGGACAATTATATTGTCAGTATCATTTGACTTGAACATTTGTGTTGCTGTAAAAATCTTGTCTGTTGGTGTTTCTAAATTGCTTAAAGCATACATTCTCTTAGGTTTTCTCTTTTGCTTCTTTCCAGCAGTCATTCCCTGCTTTTGACTGTTACAATTAACATTTTTAGAGACCTTATATATTGACAAGTTCTTGAACATTTTCTTGAGTTGATCGCTTGACCCTTGTGTAATTTGTCATGAAGGATGCGAGCCTTTCACTCCTATACTACATGAATTTCAGAGTAAACACTGTGATTCTGCAGAGCAGATTCTGTAGGCGTTGCAATGTGCTTTCCTGTTACACAGTGCCTATCACTGAGGGCACTTAAATACTAGAGGATGGAAAATAAAATGTTTTGATGTTTGTTAAATAACAAAAATAAAGAATATTTAGGTTTTGTGGTCAGTGTAATAAAGAACTTTGCATTGGTAAATATTCTCTAGGAATGTGTATACATTCATCAAGTGTGAACTCTTGTAAATGAATTTTGTATCTTGAATCTCGTATATATTAAGTGTATCATCAATACAAAAAATAAACATTATTTGCTTAAAGTTTTGTGTGTTTCTTTAGTATTGTTGACAGTTATTGCCATGTTTGGAGTTATACCTCCGGTGCTTTTAGCTGTTTTCTGAGTTAGTGATTCACGTTTATAATGCTACTTTGTAGATTTAAGAGTACTGATTTTGTTTTATCCCTGCCTGGTGGCTACAACTAGACATGGGAAAAAGTGGAAAAATAGATGGGATCAACAAACCCTTGGACTGATATTGCCTCAGACACGACTGGTCCTCTAATGTAGAATACTTGGTTTGGAATTGAGGACTGTGGAAGTCTTAGGCAGAACAACGATAATAAGAATCTAGAAATTTCTTTCATTTGTATGAAATGAATGATTGACAGAAACTCGGACGCTAAAGTTAAAACCCAAGTCACAATGTGCAAGGTGCACTCTAGTTTTTGGAGGAGTTTCCTGTAGCCTAGAGACCGGCCCTCGAGTACCGCCCGCTCTGGGGCCTCGTCAGCCACGGGACTCCTCCCACTTAGAAACGAAGTTCTTTGCTGTCGAGGACAGCCGGATTGCGATCCGCAGTCCTGCCCTTGCTGACGTGGCCGGCCAGCCAAAGTAGAAGCGCCCGCTCCCAGTTGCCGTTCCAGCTCAACGGCCCAGGAACCTAGCTGGCTCGCCACAAAGTCACGTATGGACGCATGCGCGAGCCGAGAGCGCTGCCGACGCGCAGCCACTTCCGGCGCGCGGCAAATGTGCGGTTCCGGGTTGGTGCCCTGCTTGCCGTGCAGAGGTGGGGGCTGGTGACGTTCCCCAGGCCCTCGAGAGTCCGCGGAGGCGGGGCTTTGTTGGCTGCCCCAAAAGCAGCAAGTAAGCTACCGGAGCTTCGGGACGCAAGTAGGCCACCCTTCCGTAGCCTCGGGCGGGGACGTGGTGGACCCCGACCCAGGGTTGGGGATGGTGCTGGAGTGCTCAGGGTCGGGTGGGGGGGAGGCGGTCCCCTAGTCCTGGGGGTCGAGCCACCCTGCTACCTTCTTTCTGGGACACAATCTTCCTGTTGTTAAACAGAGGTTGGGTCCCTCCCTTGGTTGACAGCCTTATCAAGGACGTGGCTCCGGAGCGAGCCAGGGGGAGTGGGATCCAGATTGCGGTGGCCGGCATCTCTGAACCTTTCAGCATCTGTCAGAACTTTGCTCCAGTGAGTTAGTGCGAGTCAAGACTCAGGGACCAGACTACCAGGTCTGACCAGGTAAACACTGTGTGTTTGAGAATAAGCTGAGAAATACTGTGCCTTGGAAGCCTTCAACTAATTCACGCTATTTTGCTCACTACTCCTAGGAAGAAATTAATGTAGACACCTAATGCTGTGAGAATTTCTTTCTGCTTGTAAGTGAAACTTAGGCTATTCACAGGGACTGGGGGCATCCTCCTGACAGCTGTACAATAATAACAATGTGTTTCGCCCATTTAAGTCATCCCTGCCCTCTTTCTTTCGTACCGCCCTCCATGGACGTTTTGGACTTGTAATTGAAATATACAACCTGTTTTATCTTTGTTTACACACAGGGCAGTGACTTTGACCTCCAAAGTGTTTTAAATATAGTAGATAAAACAGGTGAGTTCAATGACTTACAGATATTGGAAAAGTTTTTGAAGGATTTTATAGACTTAATGGATAATAATCTGAAATAGTAAACAGTCTTCTGTCATCTTACAGCAGAGTGTATCTGTCACAAGACGTTAAAAGTTAATACTGAAACAGAACGATAGAAATTAGCTTTGTTTTCTTTTTGGAATAAGATCTCACTTTGCAGCCCTAGCTGGCCTGGAACTTGCTATGTAGACCTTGAACTCAGAGAGTTCTTTCTGCCTCTCCTGAGATTAAAGGCCTGCACCACCAGTAATGTTTTATTTACCATTGAGAGGAAAAAAAATTGTTTAATCTCATGTTAAATATCATATAGGAAGAAAAGAAATTGTACTTTGAAGTCATACTTTGAAGCACAGAGAAAACCACACTTGTCCACACAGATGGGAGGATCTCATGATTATATGTAGTCTGCATTTCTGGGAGTTTTTTCTAGTTGGTGACTTTTTTCCCACTCTAGGAGGAAGCATCTAATTGAAAACCAGGAATTTAGTTGCATATTTTGTATCTTCTTACTTTTGTGTGTTTGTTTGACTTACAGAGAAAAACACTAAATAAGTGTTTAATAATTGTGTTCGTGTGTGTGTGTGTTTGTGTTTATTATGAAACTACCTTTGAAACCTGAAACTTAACCTGGCAACTGAGATGTGCAATCTGTCCAGTGTTTAACTTGGAGCTATCTCTTTCATCTGATTTATAGATACTGTGTTGCCAAAATCCTTTTGCCTGGATTTAAGTGGGATGCAGCTAGAATGGAAGCCTGAACCTTTGTAGGTACCTGTGTCATCATTTCATTCACTGAGAAGTTCAAGAGTTAGTTGTCTCTGCAAGATAGCCACACAGCAAAATGTTTGCAAAACTAAAGAAGAAAATCGCAGAAGAGACTGCTGTTGCTCAGAGGCCAGGAGGCACGAATAGAATTCCAAGATCTGTGAGCAAGGAGTCTGTGGCCTCTATGGGAGCTGACTCAGGAGATGACTTTGTAAGTATCTTCTCTTGCTTTGAATATTTGATGAAGTCTGTCATACACTTTTTAAATATTATTGCAAGAAATTGTTCCAACAAAAGTTTTTAGATTGCATGATTATTTTATGCTTTTTCTAGTTTATGCATGTTTTAAAAAAAACTGCATTTCTATCTTTTAGTTTTTGAAGATAGGTTTCAGGCTGGCCTCAAACTCACAAAGATCCACCTACCTCTCCCTCCCAGGTGCTGGGATTAAAGATGTGCGCCACCAGTGTGCCCAGCTTCATTTTTTATTCTTTTTTTTTTTTTCCTTTGGTCTACAAGAGCTAGTTCCAGGACAGGCTCCAAAGCTACAGTGAAACCATTGAAAAACCAAAATAAATAAATAAAAAAAATAACAATGTACATATAAAGTGTAAATCATGAAATAAATCTAGTATCCATCTAAGAAATACAATGTTGTTGATACTGTTAAAGCCACTTATGTGCTACTTTCAAATTCCCCATACCCTGCCAGATAGGCACTAGCCTAAATTTGTGTTTCTCATTCAGTTGTTTTTTTTAAATATCTTAACAGTTTGAGCTCATAAGTAATATATTACTTAAAACTTTACTTTGAATTTTATGAAAATGGTATGCTGGGGCTGGAGAGATGGCTCAGAGGTTAAGAGCACTGCTGCTCTTCCAGAGGTCCTGAGTTCAATCGCCACAACCACATGGTGGCTCACAACCATCTGTAATGAGGTCTGGCGCCCTCTTCTGGCATGCAGGCATATATGCAGACAGAACAATATACATAATAAGTAAATCAAAAAAAAGAAAGGAAGGAAAGAAAGAAAATGAAATGGTATGCCATAGTTTTCCTGGGCTTACCTTTTTTTTTTTAACTTAACATTTTCCCAAAATGCATCTGTGTTCCCTGAAGCTATGGCTCATTTATTTTTACCATTGCTAAAATTTCAACATTTGAAAAGGTCATGTTTTATCTTTATTCTTCAATGACTGACACTTGAATTGTTCCCACGGTCAGACAGTCAGTTGAATCTTCCTTTTCTTCCTCTACCTGAGTCCAGATCATGTTTCATGGCAGAAGCTATTAGGTTATTGGATTAGAACAATAAAATTACGGGGCTGGTGAGATGGCTCAGTGGTTAAGAGCACTGACTGCTCCTCCAGAGGACCCGGGTTCAATTCCCAGCACCCACATGGCAGCTCGCAGCTGTCTGTAGCTCCAGTTCAAGAGAATCTGACATCATTATACCAATGTGCATGAAATAAAGTTAAATAAAGTTTAAAAAAAATAAAATAAAATTACAATATCAAGATTATTATTGGCTCCTGTAATTAACGAGAACTGGAAGTGACTGATTGCCTAACTAAAAAAATTAGTTTTGATGGGCAGTGGTGGTGCTTGCCTTTAATCCTAACATTTGGAAGGCAGAGGCAGGTGGATCTCTGTGACTTTGAGACCAGCCTGGTCTACAGAATAAGTTCCAGGACAGCCAGGACTGTTTCACATAGAAATCCTGTGTCACAAAGAAAGAGAGAGAGAGAGAGAGAGAGAGAGAGAGAGAGAGAGAGAGAGAGAGA